TGCTCCCAACCACCACTGGGCTGGCGGGCCGCCCTCATCGTCGTCATCCTTGAGGCCTCCCCAGCCGGGGGGGAGCTTGCCGTGACTGGTCGTGCCTTCGGCGAGGCTCGGCGCTTCCCCAGCGGCATCGGCCCGGGCACACATGCGGACATGGGTGGATGGGGGCGATCTGGCCCGGCGCGGCCGGATGTGTGTGTGTGTATGTGTGTATGTGTGTGTGTCCGCGCGCGTGTGTAGGGGCGGGCGCCGCTCACATGCCTCGGGCCTGGATGAGGTGCGCCGGTGCCGCGGGGGCCGTGCGGGTCCGGCGCCCGACCCCAAAGAGGGTCCCGAAGGGGCGTGATCCTCCCGGGCCACAGGGCGGCGCTAATCACGCCGAAGATGCTGGCGCCCTCTGGAATCCACGATTGCAGTACCGGTTTGTTTGTTTTCGCGCGGCCGCGGACGGATGCGGCCGGGCGGGCCTTCTTCCCTTTGAGAGCCCTTGCTCGTTCGGCCCCCGGGCCCCCGGCCGCGAGCCGCGAGCCGCTCCCCCCCCCCGCTCCCCGGGGGACATGCCGGGCCCGGGGGACCGTGCCCCGGTGCTGCGGCCGGCGCCTGCGGACCCAGCGGCGAGCCGCCGCTCCCGGGGTGTGGCGGGCATTCTCGGCGAGCGGCGTCAAGGCCGTGTCGGGTATTTTTTCCGCCACCTGCTGGGTGTCTTCGGGTGTCCGCGCGCCCCCCCCCCAACCCGCCCGGGGGAGGGGAGGGTGGGGGGTGCCCTTCCGATTGATGTGGCTGCCGGAGTGTGGTCGGCCCGGCTGGCGGGCGTGGGCGGGCCGTGGCGCCGGGCGGGCAGGGGGCACGCCTGCCAGCGAGAAGTGCCCAGTTTGGACCTCAGCCCCGCGGACCGGGCAGGGCCCGTGTGGGCGAGCATGGATCCTTCGCACTGCGGCGGGGACACCCGGCCCTAGGTGCCTGCCGGCGGGGCGGGGGGGGGGCGGGGGGCCGCAGAGAAAGCAGCTGGGTCCGGGGCGCTCCCGGGGCGCCTTGTGAAATGGGTCCCACATTTCGCGGGGCTGCTTACGCATGAACGTGCCCCCCTCCCCCCCCCGCCCGCCGGCTGGCGACCACAATGTCGATGGCGCCCGGCGCGCGTGTCCGTGAGGCGTGTGATGGTGTCCTGCCGGTGTCATCGTCGGATTGACGCCAGGCATCAACACTGGAGCCCGGTTCGTGGCGGCGGCCAGCGGGTGCCAACTGTTGTCCCGGGAGGGAGCCGGGGCCTTGATCGATCAGAGGCCGGCTCGCCTGCTCGAGGGCGGGCGGGGGGGGGGGCCGCCGTGTGCGTGCACGCTTGTGTGATTGTGTGTGGGTGTGTTTTTGTTCCATCGGTGACTAGATACCTCCACATCCACTGGTGGCCGATTCATCACTAGCCGGCCTCCGGGTGGGGGCGCTCTCCTGGGCGCGACGCGATCTCCCTCCGTGCTCCATTCGCTCGGGCTGTCCCTGTTTCCCCGCCCTCGCCCTCGTTGTTCTTGCTGTCCCCCCAGCCCCTCCCCCCGGGATATCCCGGTCTGCTCCTGCTGCCCCTCTTGACCCTGCTCTGCAGCGCCTGAGCCGCTGACCAATCCTCCGTCCGACCACAAAGTACTGGATACACACACACACACACACTCAGACACGCCCACGCGCAGAGAGAAAGAGATACCATGTCCGCCAATGAGTGGCCTTTCGCCAGATTTTTCCAGAGGTAAGTGCCCCCCTCCCCTCCCTTCGCTTTGGCCTCTCGGCCTGTGTGCCAGGGATCCATGGCTGCATGCTTCTTTTGGGCTGGCCTCCGCACCCACGCGCATGCCCATGGCTCCAGTGAGACGCCCAGGCCCCGGGGATCTCAGCTAGCCAAGTTCCCTCACTCGGTCGGCTGCCCGGCAGCGGCGAGCGAGGGGCAGAGGGCCTACAAAAGCTGCCCTTCTCTCTGTCCCTCCCGGTGATCGCAGCCTTCTGCATGCACACGTGCTGTCCTCTCCCTCTCTCAACCGCGCCCGTTTATCGCTGTTGCCCCTCCTCCTCCCCCCCCCTCTTTCTCCCTCTCTCTCTCTCTCTCGCCTGGCCACCTGCCCTGCGCTCCTCCCCCCCCCCCCCTCGCTCACTCTACGCCATCATGACCGAAAGTGGCGGAGCCTCTGCCGCTGGTGACATCCTTGCTCAGCAGCGTCTGCACTCGCTGGCCAACCACCTGCAGACCGCCCCCGCCGCGCCGGACTATCAAGAGACTCTGACCGTGGTGGACAATCGCACCGGCAAGGTAGGCCTCGCCCGATTTTCCGCCCCCCCCAGCCTGATGGCCCTGACACTGCCCTCCACTTGTCACGCTCGCCGTGCTCGGGCCTTCCCCCCGCTCCGGCCCGTAGACGCACACCATTCCCATCCGCCATGGCCACATCGTCAATGCCTCGGATCTGGCGAAGATCACCGCCCCCGGGCCCCTGCCCGGCCCCTACCCCGCGCCGGCTGTGGAGAAGACCGCCACTTCGGCCGAGGAGCCTGCCGCCGGCGGCGGGCCGGGGCTGCTCATTTTCGACCCGGCCCTGGCCAGCATTGCCGTGGCCCAGTCGTCCATCTCCTTCGTCGATGGCGAGAAGGGCATCCTCCGGTACCGGGGCATCCCGATCGAGGACATCGCCAAGAACTTTGACATGTGCCAGGTGGCGCACTTGCTGCTGTTCGGCCAGGCCCCCGCCACGCCGGAAAAGCGCCGCGAGTGGCAGCAGATCCTCAGCCCGGCGGCCACGCCGGACAACATGGCCTCCCTGGCCCGGCTGATCTTCTCCCTGCCTACCTCCGGCCACCCGATGTCCATGTTCATCAGGTACGTCCCCGGATGCCCAAGCAGCCAGGCCAAACGATCGAGCCTCCCGGCTGTGGGCCACCCGCCATCACACGACTAACATCCTCCGGCCTGCCTGCCTGCCTGCCATGTCCGTCTTCCGCTCCTTCGGTCTTCCTCGTTCCCAGCGGTCTGGGTGCCATGTCTGCCCTCCACTCGGATTCGAACCCGGCTCTCTCGGTAGGTGGCGCGGTTTTTTTCTCGCCTCCTTTCTCTCGCTCTCCTCCGCCCCCTCCCGCCGGAACTTCTCGCCACCTATGCGGGTGGGACATTTCGCCGCCGGGATCCTCGCTGACATGCTGACCCCCCCGCCCCCCCGCCCCCCCTCGGCCTCGGATGCTGCAGTCGTCGGGCCACAACTACTTCCGCAACAACCCAGCCGAGGCGGACCGGCAGATCGAGCGGATCCTTCGCCAATCGCCGGTCCTGGCGGCGCTCATCTTCCGCCGGTGCAAGTACCGCGCCGAGGGGGCCAGCATCGAGGCGACCATGGCCGCCGAGGCCGGGCGCCTGAGCCCCGCCGAGGAGCGCACCTTCTCCGAAGTGTCTTCCGCCCAGGCGATGGCCTCTTTCACGGCGCAGAAGCTCATCGACGAGCCGCTCGCACGCGACGCCCTCGCCGCGGTGGCCGCCGCCTCGAGCCACGCCCAGGCCCAGGGCTGGGACTATGCCACCACCTTCCTGGCCATGTCCGGTGTGCGTGCCTGGTGGCGTCTGCCGGGCCGCCCCTGCCCGGTGTATGCATTGCCCGGTGGTTTTTCTCCCTGGCCCATACTCTAACATCTGTCCGCTGTCCCTCCCTTTGACTTCCCCCCCCCCCCCCCCCCCCCGCACGGCCTCGGGGTCGCAGCTCGGCATGGGTGCCGACCGGAGCCTGCCCCCGCCGGAGGCCTTCTCCAAGGCCCTGGACCTGCTGTTTGTCCTGCACGCCGAGCATGAGCTCAACTGCTCCACTTCGGCCATGCGGCACATTTCCTCGTCGGCGGTGGACCCGTACAGCGCCGTGGCCGGGTCGGCCTCCGCCCTGTATGGGCCCCTGCATGGGGGTGCCTGCGAGGCGGTCCTTCGCATGCTGGAGGAGATCGGCCACGTGGACCAGGTCCCCGGGTACCTGGAGAAGGTCAAGCGCCGGGAATGCCTGCTCATGGGCTTCGGCCACCGGGTGTACAAGAACTATGATCCGCGCGCGCGGCAGGCGGCCGAGGCGGCTCGCGATGTGGTCGACACGCTGGCCGCGCTGGCCGACGCCGGCCCCAAGTCCGACATCGCCGGTCAGACCTTCGACGCCGAGCGCATCGCCGATGTCCGCCGTCTGGCGGCCATTGCCCGGCGTCTGGAGGAGGTGGCTCTCAATGACGTGTACTTCCGCGATCGCAAGCTCTTCCCGAATGTCGACTTCTGGACCGGGCTCCTGTACAAGGGTGCGTCTCTCGGCTGCCGCTTTGTGCCCTTCCTCGGCTCGTCGGTCATCTCCTCGCCACCCGGCGGTGGGCGCCTTGCCATTGACACGCCTGCCCTTGTGGGTCATCCACCGCGTTGTGGCCTTCAGCTCTCGGCATTCCCACAGGTGCGTCCTCCCTGCACATACCGTTGCCGTGTCCTTCTGCCGGGCCTTTTCCTTTTCCTCGCCACCCTCTCTCTCTCTCTCTTCCTCGCTGGCACATCGAGACCCGCCCATGCGTCCTGCCTTGTCTCACCCTGGATCATTCTCTCTCTCTCTCTCTCTCTCTCTCTCTC